CGCCCGAAATAAAAACTGCTAAAATACTATGAACATTTGTCCGCAAATCGTGCAGAGTACTTTAATAACTTTCAACATTCTCGAAAGTATTATAACTCGTTATTTAATGAAGAGAAAATTCTGGTTCCAAAAATGAATCTAAATCCTGCTCTGGCAAATAATAAACGAACCAAGAAGCAATAAGTCTAAAACTAATGCTCAACCTTCTTTCATAGATTGTAAAGCATCTGTAAAGCAGATGAATCAATAATTTCAAAAATGCTTCTTATTTAGGTATCATATACAGGGTGTAACTGAATAAGTGTAAAACATTTGAGGAGGTGATTCCTCATCGAAAAAAAGATAGGATCTTTTATATGAAGAAACTTCATTGGAGCATCCCTTGTTAAGATACAGCCCCTTAGGGGGTAGATAAAATTTGTATAACAATTTTTTTCACAAGCACTGAAAAAGTTACAATATTGAAATTAACCTAACGTTTTGTACTACCAAAAAGACACTTAGCCATAAATGTATTTGGTTTACCCCATGGTTGTAAGGGGTGGAAAACGCAACCCCTAAGATTTATTCCCAATGTAACTTTTTGTGTTATTATTTGTTTACCATTTAAACATTTATTTCCGATAGCCTGTTTCATTCTAAACAAAAAATGTCTCTTGGGTTTTTTGCCCAAAATAAACCAGTTCGCAGCAAAACATTTTACGAACAACTACAGAGATACATCGTCATAGATGCGAACTGGATTTATTGGTATTTTGTAGTTAGTACCTGCATCAAACGATTAAAGGGTAATAAACAAAACTAATTTATAAATAACAAAACACACAACATGTAGAAAGCATAGCAAATGTTCGATATGTCTACCTTCAGACATTTATGCATGCGTCTAGACGTCGGCGCATTGAGCCACGTATTTGTTCAAATATTCCTGGAGTATCTCTGATTACCCTGCACGCATCGATGTCCTCTACATCGCGAACAGGAGTACGATAAACCAAATGCTGTAAATGGCCCCAAATAGAGAAATCGAAAGGATTGAAATCCGGGGATCGAGCGGGCCGGTTCTGTGGTCCTCTTCGACCTATCCACTGATTTGCATATGTTTCAGTTAAATGCTGACGTGCTACTTGACTAAACTGGGCGAGAGCCCAATCATGCATAAAAACATATCCCTTCTGACGCCCAAAGGAACTTCCTCCAGCAGTACTTCTCTTAAAAATTGAACGAATGCCTCACCATTTAATCGAGGAAGTAGAAAATGAGGCCCAATTAAATCATCCCCAATAACTCCGAGCTACACGTTAAGAGAAAACTGTTCTTGATGGTTAGTTTCGACAATAGCGTGAGTGTTTTCATCAGCCCATATGTGGTAATTATGAAAATTAATAACCTTGTCCCGAGAAAAACTAAATTCGTCTGTGAATTCTATCGTCTTCTGAAAGTCACAATTTCTTCTGATCATTTCCAGCATCAAATTGCAAAATTCAAGACGGTTCGGAAAGTTTCGCGGTAACAGTGCCTGTTGTCGTTGCAGATGGTAAGGGTATAAGAGTTGTTCCTTTAAAATTCGAAATACCGTCATATGATCAACATTTAGCTAGAAAGCAATCTTTCTAGTACTGGTTGTTCTTCAATCAAATTAAGTACTGCTTCCTCAAGCTGTGTTCTTCGTACTTCTCGATGGCGACGACAATCCTGCTTTCTTTTGTTGATGTATTTCATTACGGACGATGAACTTCGCCCTTTATTTCAATTGTAAGTTGAATATATAAGTTATGTTGTGTTTTTTGTTTTGGATAAAATAAAGGCGATATCATTATTAATATTACTATTATTTCGGCAAAATAACTTTTCTTGGCAGACAGACAGACAGACAGACAGACAGAAACTTTATTGATCTCGTTGATCACATACGTAATATGAGATAAGTTAGATATACCAGAAATTCACGATAATACAATAAAATAGAAACACATTAGTTCTCTTACAAAGAATATGACACAATCAATATTCTACGTTTTGGGAAGAAGAACAAAAATGGTCATCGACCAATTAAAGTGTTTATGTCTTGTGCTCGCGATGTCCATGAAATCCTAAGAATCAAATATAAATTAGGCCATGCTAACAAAATATTTTTCCAACCTGATCAAACTCTATCAAAAAAAGCAACTTGACTCGGTGAAAAATGAACTTATAGTGCGTCAACAGGCTGGTGAGCAGAATTTGTCTATAAAATACTTCAACAATACACCAAAAATCATTAAAAAAAACTAAAACTGAGCAGCCCTTCGCTTCATTACCAAAATGTAAGAGGTCTTAGAACTAAACTGACGGACCTCAGTTTAAATGTTAGCAATTGTTCTTATGATATCAATATCTTCACCGAAACCTGGCTCACACCTGAATTCACCGACGCCGAACTTGGGCTTTCCAACTACAACGTATATAGAACTGACCGCTCTAGTGAATCCAGTATTTTCAGCAGGGGTCGTGGTGTACTGATAGCTATCAAAAAATCATTTCCTGTTTATCTAATTCAGTCTGATCCTTCGATCGAACAATTGTTTGTTCTCTTCAATAACAATTCTATTATTGGTACGGTATATTTCCCATGTAAATCTTCACCAACTTTATACCAATCTCACTTTGATCAGCTAATTACCTTGAATGAGCAGTATAGTAATGCGATCATTTTTCAATTGGCGATTTTAATCTTCCATCAGCATTATGGGAGGTAGAGGATTATTGCTCTGTTGCTTCTCCTCTGTTGCTTCTCCTCTGTCTCTATCCACTCAATCTGAGATAGATTCTATTGAAACGATATCCAACATGTGTGCTTTTCTCAATCTTTTTCAATCCAATGGAATATTCAACGATACAGGAGTTACTCTTGATTTCATCTCATCACCAGTAGATCTTACAGTACTAAATGCTGTCGACATCTTAATTCCTGAAAACTCGCATCATCCTCCACTTGAATGTTATTTGCCACTCAAAATCTCAAACGAATATTCATCTGGTGAAGAATATTACTATGACTTCCTTCTCGCTGACAATGCATCGATAAATTCGACCCTTGAAGCAATCGATTGGGATGGTGCATTACATGGAAAGGAGCTTTCTGATGTGATTTCAATATTTTACGACATTCTTTATTCTATCATTGATCGCTTCGTTCCTCGAAAAAAATCTGTGGAAGGCGATTTCCATGCTGGCACTCCCCTGAGCTGAAGAAACTACTTTATGAAAAGAAATTAGCTCACAGGATCTACAAGAGCGCAAGGTGTCCAGAAAGCTTCGCAGCATTTAGCAATTTAGGATCAAGATGTACATCCTTAACCAGACAATGTTATACAGATTACATGCACTGAACATTCTATGATTAATAATGTTAAATCTTTTTGGAAATTTGTAAGCAGTAAAAAGGAAAATAACACTATACCTAATAAAATGACTTCTGGTAATCGTAATGCTACCAATGGGATCGATATTGCCAACCTTTTTGCTAATCAATTTTCTTCCGTCTATACAAGTCAATCTTTACATCCTTATGATACCAATATTACATCCATGGTTAATGTGTCCAATTATCATATTGAAATCTCTAAAATTTACGAAAAACTGTCCGAACTTAATATCAACAAAGGCCTTGGTCCTGATGGAATTCCTCCAACTTTTCTGAAATCATTTAGCTTTATGTTAGCTCGACCACTTTTCTTTATACTTAATAATTCCCTATCATCTGGCAAATTCCCGGACTATTGAAAAAGCTCATATGTCACCCCAATATATAAATCAGGTCGAAAATCTGACGTGTGTAATTATCGTCCAATTTCTATTCTTAGCGCAATCCCTAAGTTTTTGAGAGCATCATTACTTATGACCTTACTTATGACTGCTCCCCAATTATAGGGACCGAACAATTCGAATTCACATCCAAAAAGTCAGCTGAACTGGGTCTAATTACCTACGTTGATTTTCTGTCTGACGCACTGTCTAACGGTTTGAAAGTTGACTCTGTGTACACTGATTTCTCCAAAGCTTTTGACAAAGTTAATCATGAGTCCATAAACTTTGTTTATATGGTGTTGATGGGCAAATATTACAGTGGCTCAAGAGCTATCTTATGGAAAGAACACAAATTGTTAGAGTTAATCATTATTATTCTCATACCATCGCAGTTACATCGGGTGTTCCACAAGGTTCACATTTGGGACCACTGTTGTTTAACCTTTTTATCAACGATCTAATCAGCTGTTTCCATGAAAGCGAAGCTATTAAATCTCTTTATTTTTCTCTGGTAAGATTTCATCTCGATTATTGTTCCACAGTTTGGTCCCCTCACTACGTTACACAAAAAAAAGAAACTCGAGGCCGTACAGCACAATTTCCTGCGATATATTGCCTTCAAGATGCGTGTTTACTATGACTATACTGCATTGGAATGCATTTTGAGACTTGCAGAAAACATTGAGATTTAATACTTCTATTCAAAATTATCAACGGACTGAGTATTAGTCCCGAGCTTCTCTCCAATATAGGTATCTTTACATGTCCCCAGTCGTTCAACTAGACAGCTGCAAACGTTTTACGTTTCTTTTCACATATTCAATTATTCATATAACGGCTTTATTCTCAGAACTCTTAGATTGGCTAACTCTTTAAACACCCTTCAAATCTTTAATATATCAGTATCCATGTATCCAGTATCCAGTCTAGCATGTTTGAGAAAGTAAAATTACAAAAAAAAAAAAGATATTTCAATGTGACACTTTAATATATCTGCAATTTACATTTATGTTGATTTGATGAATAGTAGTTTTCAGAAACCTATGCAGGTTCCGAATTAACGAAAATTGCTTTGAATCCTAATGAAACTTCATAATACCTAATTGATCCATTGCGAAATTTTAGCAAGAAAATGAAATATCACGTGGTGTTGGGTAATGGCAACCCTGCCGAGCTATATCATTTTTCATTTGACAGTTTTGACACAGTTGACTTTGACACATTATTTGTTGATTACCAATGTAAATGAGACACGTATTTATCAAAGCAATCTAATGAATATGAAAATAATAAATTTTTCATGAGTAATACAGTATTTGCACCAAATTTTACCGTTGCTGTTTCAATCGTTAATAATAATCGAGAAGATATAGAGGTTATGTTATTTTGAGTGTCATCCAATCCAAAACAATTCAGTCCTATTTTCAAATTATCAGAGATGTCTGACTTGGGAGACTGGTTCCGCAGTGTTCCCTTCTTCACCCGTTATTGGTTTGCGGGTTCCATCGTGTTTACCCTTGTTGGACGATTCGGTTTAGTTAGCCCATACAATTTGATATTGCTTTACGAGCCCTTGAAGAAATTTCAAGTATGGAGGCTCTTCACAAGTGTGTTGTACTACCCAATACAACAGGCTGGTTTTCACTATCTCATCAACCTATACTTCCTTTATAACTATTCTCGCAGGCTGGAGGAAGGTAAGTGAAATTTGCTTCAAATCTCCAGTCGAATCTAGTACCTATATTAGTAGTTTTGTGTTTGCTCTTATGAAGTTATGAATCAACATATATTACACCATATACTGTTGGTTTGAATCGTACCTTTCAAATGGTGAGGATAATGTAACTCTCAGAGAACCGTCCAATTGATACAGTGTACCACAAAGTTCTGCGTTTTAACTTATTTTATTTCAGTTATACTTAACATGTTAATCAGATTACCGTGACTCATATATATGGTAGTTTAAATATTTTCGTGGATTATTCAGCATTATTTTGAAAGGGAAAACTCGAGAGTTACTTGAAATATATTCTAATTTACAAAAGTTGAAATTTTCAAAAATAAATATAACATCATTCAAATGCTTGATAAATTTACAAGAGAAAAATATATTATGAAACAATTTAATCAGTAAATTTCTTGTTGTTTTCATTGACTGTAGCTTGAAATTTGATGAACATGTTAGACAAATCAGGAGTAAGAATTTCTTCAGAAGTTTTGCAGTGAGAGAGATTTTTAATGAAGTAGGTTACCGTCTATACTCTTTTCTGTGTTGATACCGACGTTAACCAAAGTCTTCATTTACGAACAAGGAATGTTTACTAAACCACAATTTGATTTTTTCTTCGTCACCTCAAATTCTAGAAACCAGATTAATATTGACTTTTCATACTATTAATCCTAGACTTTGTACATTTTCATTTATCCATAACTTTTATCATTCTGCCTTTCAGGTGCTTATGCTGGAAAACCAGCAGATTATTGCTTTCTCTTGATCTTCAACTGGCTCTGTTGCGTTGTTTTGGGGTTAATTGCGGAGTTACCAGTAAGTACCACTATATTTTGAGAAATTTCATTTGATTGAACATATTGTAAAAAAAATAAGATCATTGATTCCCATGTTCAAGTTCTTGAAACAGATGTTTGATTAAAAGCAATTGGAAATTCTGTACAACTCTTTTGTTAGACCACATATAAGTTATGGCATTCTAGCATGGGGTGGAGTAACCAACAACTTCCTCAAAAACCTAGAAGTAACCCAAAAGTGGATCTTGAAAATAGTCCATAATAAAAAGTTCAATTATCCTTTAGATCTTTTATATAAAGCAAAGCACTAGATGCATGGCAACTATACTTCCAAAGTATAATATTGCATTTTTATAAAAATAAAACTGATTTTGAGAGAATATATCATGTATACAACACGAGAAATAAAGCAAAAACAACTGCTATACCAAAAGTTGAAGAAACATTATCGCAGAGACACTTCACATACCTAGGACCCTTAATATACTTAAAAATACCAACAAATCTCACTCAAATTCATTCACTCGGTTTATTCAAGAATATTCTCAAAAAATGGCTCACTTTACATGTATTTCTTCATTTGAGGACATGCTTTTATAGCATACGAAACTAAAAAATGAAAAATAAATATAGTTTAAAAACACTAAAAAACACGCTTTTAAAGAACATCAAACTAAAAAGTTGAAAATTGTTTTTTTAAATAAGCTTAAAAAAATAACGAACGAAAAATACTAGTAATATGAATATTCATGCACAATTTGAACATTAAAGAAAATACTAAAAATGTGAAAGGTTCAAAGTAAACTTAAGCTAATCTATAAGTGAATACATTAAGAATTTGGTGTGTAATTAATTTTTAAGCCCCTCTCAAAAGACATTTGATTTGTATAAATTGGTGACCAAATAATAGATTCTAAGTAGGAGACTATTAAGGCAAGGTACACCATTCTCACTGAATTAATTGCTAATAAGATAAGATAATTTATTGATCTTTTAGATGTATACAAATGAGATAGATCACATATATACATAATTACCCAGGAATGAATATTATACTGCTCAGCTGTCTATTTGTGTTTCATTGGATAAGACAGTTTTATACTCGTCAGTAGAGTAAACACAATTTGTAATCAATAGATCGTTCAGATACTTTTCGAACAAGTTTTGAATAGTTTGCAGTTTCGCAATATAAAGCCCAGTAGTTTTGAGGTATCGACAGCAACAGACTTTGTCAATAAAAAAATCTCCTTAAAACAAAGTATATTTTGATTGGTCAATTATATTTGTAGCCTATGCGAACAAAGAAAAATCTGGATTTTTCCTTAATGAGGTTTTATTTTCAGATTCTAATGGATCCCATGATCCTCTCTGTACTCTACGTATGGTGTCAGCTGAATAAAGACACCATAGTGACATTCTGGTTCGGAACCCGCTTCAAAGCCATCTACCTACCTTGGGTTCTGCTTGCCTTCAACCTGGTCCTCAGCGGTGGTGGAATCATGGAACTCTTTGGCATCCTCATCGGACACCTATACTTCTTTCTGATGTTCAAATACCCCCAAGAAATGGGCGGTCCGGTCCTGCTCAACACCCCGTCATTTTTAAAAGATCTGTTTCCCGACCAAATGGGGGGTGTGCACAGTTTCGGGGCGCCTCCCCAGAGGGCGGCTTCCGCGCAACCAGGAGCTAGGGGTGGGGGTGTTTTCGGAGGACGCAATTGGGGGAGGGGATATACGTTAGGGGGGAACTGAACTACTGAATGGAGTCAGTGGGATGCTTCGATTATGCAATAGCTTTATACATTTTTCAATAAAGTTAACTACTATTAATTTTTTTTTTGTTAGAAAGGTAATTTATTAATAAAGACGATATTTGTGTGATTTTCTTCATGTATTTGGCTTTTTAGGTGTACTGTTTGGGAAGACTTGTCCCAATAGTCTTATGGCCCTGCAGGTTCCAACAATGTTGAGTCAAACTGCTTCATTTCACAAAAAACGTTTCTTGAATTGTCAACTTTTCTAATTAATTACTATATGTCGTAAGAAAATATATGTAAAATATTCACACAAAGTGTACAGAAAAGTTATGTTAAATCTTTTTGCTTCATAGTGTGAGTTTTTCATTTTTCAAGGTGTCATTTCAGCAAATTTCATATCTACCAAGATTGAGTTAATAAGGGTATACAGTATACGCAAAGTATGGAATAAATTCGATATTTCCAAAACCAAAGGTCGTTTTACAAAAACCAGAAATCTGATAATCCGTAACAAGCTGATTCTGAAAAGGTATGATACTTGGGGTCTAACGGACAGAATTTGAAAGATGTGCGCTTAGAAAATAAATTTTATTGATATCTAATAAAAGTAGAAATTAATTATTTCATATTTTTTTCTAATGATTAATTTAACAATGTGAAAGTAATCCAGTAATAAGTACATGACTTTATTTTAAATGTTCGAACTGCAGTCCTTGTTGTAGTTGACAGTAACCGTGCTAACAAGTATTTCTTATTAATTTCAAAAAACTAGGCGGCTAGTTTTCTTTTGTTATTGTGAAATGTCATTATTTCGATTGACGTTCAGTAACTGTTAAATAGGATAGTAGTTGTTGTATTAATTAGTGAATTTTCTGTAGTATGGCCAGCGAGGTCGCCAGACTTAAATCCGTTCAACAAGAATTAATTCAACGTTTATGTTACTGTCAAATATAGCAAGGACTACCGTTCGAACATTTAAAATATAGTCATGTATTTATTACTGGATTACTTTCCCATTGTTGAATTCATCATTAGAAAAAAATATAAAATAATTAATCAATTTCTACTTTTGATATCAATAAAATTTATTTTCCTAGCTCAGATCTTTCAAATTCGATCCGTTAGACCCCAAGTATCATAACCGTTCGAACATTTAAAATATAGTCATGTATTTATTACTGGATTACTTTCCCATTGTTAAATTAATCATTAGAAAAAAATATAAAATAATTAATCAATTTCTACTTTTATTAGATATCAATAAAATTTATTTTCTAAGCGCACATCTTTCAAATTCTGTTCGTTAGACCCCAAGTATCATACCTTTTCGGAATCAGCTCGTTATGGATTACCTAAAACTGACACCAAATGCAGGGTGTTGCATTTAAAAAATGACCGATGACGTCATCACATTAATATGGAACACCCTGTATAATGAAATTTTATTGTGAAATATAGAATATTGAAATTAAAAATAGACGTGTTTCAGGTTTTTGTAAAACGACCTTTGGTTTTGGAAATATCGAATTTATTCCATACTTTGCGGAGACACTGTATATATCAAACACGTGATGTTGTGAATATTCATTGCCGTTTCATCCATTCAGTATTCAGAAACCGCAAACGTTGAACTTCATTTCACGAAAAAAAAAATATCTGCCACGATACAAGACAAACTAAAAAATTACTTATTGGAGGATGAATCTCCATTTTGACGTTGAAATATTCAATAATCTTGTATAATTTATATTTATTTTTTTTCCATTTCCACTTAAATGTCATCCATATTCACATTATTGCTAATTAAGCTAATATTTAGTCGTGTTTCACCAACTAAGTTGGTGTCTTCAGGAGATGAAGTAAACTATGACAGATAAAAAATGCTATATAGCCAAAACGATACACAATTTTTATAAATCAATTTTCAATATCATTAATTTTTCATAAAACAATTAGAACACACTTGGATTTTCACATAAGTTTATTTATTTTAGTTGGATTGTTGATAGATGAAATACAGATCGAGTCTTATGTCATTTATCATTTGATATAAAAAAATATTTATTGAACACATAACACATTTGTTAAAATGAACTCATATGAAATATAACTTAGCAGAAAAATCGTTCTTATTCAAAAATGAATATTCTTCTATTCTATATCAAAACATACTTCAAAGATATTATTTTCAACACTGACTTTATGAGGTAGAACTTACACCTTTGAAGCAATTTGCTGTTATATCACAGAAGACTCATTATTATATTTTTATATTATTCAATGAAAACTCTATCCTAATTGAGAAATACCTATTTGTAATATGAAATCAAAAATAGAAAAATATTTTTATTTCTAACATTTTGTTTGTCTATGAAAATTTCAGTATTCAACATATACAGAGTGAGCCAATAGTTTCATAATGACCAAATATCTCCGTTGCTTTTCATCAAATTTGGTATTTATATGCAGTGATGCTTTACTATAAATGATCAAAATAGTAAATTCTTTTTTGGGAAAGTTTCTGGCCGTCTACTTCTTTCTCCATCTTGATATAAAAAATGTGGGAATCTTCCAAAGAAAGGAAGGAAGCATTCAATTTAAAAAAATCAACTGAAAGTTACTTCTTTGCATGATCCACACATTTTTGTAGAGTTGATTTTTTGAAATGTATTGCTTCCTTTCTTTATTGGAAGATTCCCACACAAAAACTTTCTCAAAAATCAATCTCTCGTAAAAATATACCCTTTGAATTTTAGTAAATTCTTTAATTCTGCCACAGAAATGTGATAATATTTTCTGATTTTGTCTTCTGACTTCGTTATTGATAGTTTTCAATTGCATATTTGAGATTGACAAAATATACAGTGTTCTGTTAAACGGAGATTTTTGACCATTCCATCTGAAAAATTAAACCTTTGTTATACCTACATACATTATAAAAAATGCTATACTCAAATACCCATAAAAATAATTTCAAAGGATACATATCTAAGATCAGTCATGATAACGGCAATACTTCTGGTAATGGGACGCAAAATAGCTTGATGGAATGTTACCTTTCTACTTTTCATCTAGAAAAGTGAGGATTTATTGCATACAAAATATGGTATACTTCTAAGCTCCTTACTGAACAACAATTTTAAGATTGTTTAAAAAAAGTGTAAAATATAAATAATATGAGCTGATTATTTTGATACGTCGAAGACACTAGTCTAATATGTTACATTGTTTTTAGGACTAGCTAGTGCAGCACAGGGTGAATCAATAAAATAACTGATGAGCATGTCTCTTGCTTCAAAGTCTAAGGAGATTTTTTTAAATCAAATTATATGAATTAGAAAAAAAAATGACAGAAATTTTTTTCATCCCAATACAGATTTATAAAATAATACAGATTGTCCCGAGAACTTTTGACTGTTGTGTCAAAATATACATGTGCATTCGTCAGTCATTTGGAGGTGTTTGTACATATTCTTTCACTACAAAAATCACCGCTTTGTAAGTATTACTTTTATCCAATAATCATCCAAATTTATTCCCGCACAATTTTTAAAGGATGTCAAAAACTCCTTTTTGCCATTGAACAGTAAAACTACAGCACTTCTTGTGCCATCTCTACACACTTCCGTGTTTATTTTCATGTCTCGATGTGTGTTTGTTTGAAAGAAAACAAATCTATTGTTAACCCATACAAAAATATTCCTATTGAATAGGGATGAAATATAAAAATGTGTGTAAAAATAGCTGTCTGATCCATGTACATTCCTCAAATGTTTTGAGATACCTATCAATCCTCCTGAAAAAAAGCAACTGTTTACTGGACATATCAGACCAGGTCGCATCGAGCAGGATTCTTCATGTCCTATATGCTCATTACCTACAAACGACATTCCGCATCGCCAACGACAGAAGAATTCAACAATCTTCAAAGCTTCTAGTGGCAGAGAAGAAACCATATACTCATCCCTTCTGATTTTTTTCTCAGATTTCAGATACTTGAAGCAGAAGTAACAAAATGAATGTTCAGAGGTGATGCCAACATAAAACTGTTGAACCATCACATCGTGACTCATTCCCCTCCAACATATTTCTTGACAATTGAAGCAGTGAAGAAATATCGGCCTTTTCCGTTGTATCAAAGCTGTACCACAACTGCTGATTGAAATATCAGGAAAGGCTCTTAAAAAAGTAGTACTCAGATGAATCTTTCTGGGTGGCAAATGTTCCACTTCCGGTGAAAAAGCAGTTGGAATGATGATGGATTTGTTCATATAAAGTGATTTCATTGGGACAGTATCAAAGGCATCTTCTGAATGTTGAAGCTTTGAAAGTAACGTTTTCAGTGTGGGTGGCAAAGGTTCCACATCTGGTAAAAAAGCAGTTGGAATGATGCAGGATTCTTTCAAAGAAAGTGAATCTATTGAGACAGTATCAAAGGCATCTTCCGAATGTTGAAGCTTTGAAGGCAACATTTTCAGTGTGGGTTCCGTCACTTCCAAGTCAAACTTTATGAAAACAGTTTTCCCCATTCCAGATTGATCTGATTCATCAAGGGAAAAGGAATAAAATGTATCTGCTTCTAATGTGGTACATACATTCTTTTTGGTACATTTAAACCATTTGTCTGAATATAAATAAAATTTCTGATGTATGTTACTGGCAGCTCTGGCATCTCCGTTGTAAGAAATATTCAACCGCATTACACTTTCGTTGAGACTATACTGAAATCTAATGAAAAACAGGTCATCTTCAAATATATACATATATAACTCTGTCATTTCAGATTGAGAATCGAAGTTGACAACGAAACCTGGGTAGTCAAGAACTGAAGATTTATGTTCATCTCTGAAATGTTTTACCAAGAAGAACGTTGGAATTTTCTCGTCTCCCGAGCAAAGTGGACATTGGTAACTTCTGCTCTGGCATATTTTTTCATGATCTCGAACTTGAGAGTAGTTTAACAGTTCCCTACAACCATCATAACGGTTGATGCATTTGAAAAGACTGTTGTTTGCTACAAGTCCAAACAAAGAAATTATTCCATCTCCTTGTTTCTTGCTCCTTGAACATCTTCCGCATTTGATATGTCTGTTCGGGTAGACCTTCACAGGCTTTACAGAAAGGTATTTGTGACAGGTGTTGCAAATGAGTGTTTCTAAGATTTTGTCTGGGATGATAAATGCCATTCTGTACGGCTGAATCTGTAAAAAATAATCTGTAACAACCACATCACTTGAATCTTGACATAAAGGGTACTTTCAGTAATTATATAAGATAAATACACTCAAATATGCTAAATAGGCTTTTTTTGAATTCAGTTCATTTTGTGTTATGATGAAATATTGAACTTTAAACCTTACAAATTATGATATTAACAAGTTCTTTAGTGACTCACTTTTGGAATTAATCAACTCTCATGCGAGTGGACCTTTATTGTCACTATTAAACTGATTGATTTCGTCAACTAATTCACTGACAAACAACATTCTAATTTTTATGATAGTCATATAAACACGTCTTTGAAATTTTAATTAGAAATTAGAATGGATATATGGATATCCGACTTCTTGTGACAACAAGCCAATAAGCCTTTTCATTATAAACGATCAAATTATTTGTCAAATATTCGTTTGACAAACGTGTTTGTCAAATTTTTTGAAAGTGTGCGAGCTTGTTTGACGTGTTTGTCAAACAATGTAAATGTTTGACCTGTTTGATGGAAATTTTGATTGACGGTGTGTTTGGCAAACCTGTTTGATAGTGTGCAATGGTGTTTGTCTCAGTCGACAAGAGTATTACTTATGGAACTAATAAATAAATCAAGCTATTAATATTTTGAGGAACAGAAAAGAAAAACTAATTCTAATTAGCTACTTCAAGTACATGTTAGCAATTCTAATAATGTTGTGAAGGTTAGTGAAGAATAAATCACCATGGACCCGTGTTAGGAATCACACGTTAAAAGGTAAGACCTCGTTAATCCTTAGCTCGTACAACTTTCGACTTCTGAGGATTGTCGTTCGTAAGGTTGCGACAGCTGGTTAACGGAAAAACAGATTTTAAACAGATTTTAAACATATTTTTTTATATTGGGGAATTGAGCATAATGTTAGTTCTTGCTCTGAGAGGTCTAAAAATGGATTGAGATCGTCAAGCAGGCCGTGGTACATTGAAGTTAAGTTGTTCAATAATTTTAGGACAGTCAACTCTCTCATTCAATAACTTGGATAAAAATATGAGCGACGCTCATTTTCTGCGATGCTCTAAACTAAAAAGTTCCAAACGTTCATATATGACATCATTACTGATACCTCTCTCAGGGTAAGAACCATCTATTCTGAAAATAAGAAATTTACAAAACTTTATTTGAACTCTTTCAATGGCTATGTTATGAATACCATTGAATGGACTCCAGAAGATACTTGCATATTCTATCTTCAAACGTACGTAGGTGAAATACAACAGCTTCATAAGCTCTGAGAGCTTATGGTTTCATTGTTAGCTAATTGAAGTTGTGATTATTCTACAACCTTTTTACGTGGCTGAGGGACTGCGAATAGTCGTGATGCTCCATTGGTTGCTCTGGGGGTTATTAGCATTGCTACAGAACACGAGTACACTAGGTTAATGATCAAAGTTTACACCAATCATTTCTTCTTCACCAGAAAATGAAGTTTCCTTCGTTTTCTATAGTTTCCCTCTTCATCAGAAGATTACGTTTTTTTCTTCAGAAGTTTCCTTCTTCTCCTGAAGGCACCAACTTGGTTGGTGAAAAAAGTATTGCATTTTTAGTGATTGGGAAAAGTGCTGGTTTTGGATCAACACATAATCTCTAAAATGTCTTACTGACGAACCAGTGGGTATTATTTCATTCACTTATCTTCTGTTACAAAAAATGAACCTCCAATATTCAATAAAAAACATTGTTATCACGTTCAGAAAGTCTTTCCTCAGGATTGTAGAAACATCTATGGTTATATTCCAATGAAAAACTCCGCCAAGTAAAATAAACTGATTCATTACCATAATTCTTAGTTTGTTTGGAGGTGATTGACAATTTTTCATGATGAATTCCACTAGTTCGGACTTCCATTGTCAGATATTATATGAAATGATTTGAAATCCCTGAAGAAATTGATGAAAAGAAAAGAATTAAAAATGAATAGCTGAAAATAACAATTATATTAAGGAAAAAAAACCTGAAATGAAATAATAGTGAAATAAAATATAAGTAGGTAAAAATAGAACAATTGAACAAAAAATAATAAAATAAAAAGTTACGAGATTTCAAGCCAAGTTACCTCACGACGTTTCGATAGTTAGTATCCACAATCGACCTCGGGTGGTGACTGGACTAATTCCTCCGAGAAATAACTATTTATGGGTCATTCGAGTACTTTCACTTATCTCCGCTTTCCTTTTTTCGCTTCACCGGTTTAGTGGGAGATGACCGTTTGGCGGGAGTTGGCTATTAAGAAACTCATTTACAACGGAAGGACGAATTCTTTACACAAGATGAGGGACTACCCATGGGATCGCCACTTTCACCAGTCATAGCCAACAAATATATGGAGTGGTTTGAAACTCTGGCCATTGAAGAAGCCCACAAGAAACCTCGTGTCTGGTTGAGATACGTTAACGACACCTTCGTAATATGGAACCATGGGAATACTGAACTAGACGCCTTCCTGAAACACATTAACAGCGTGAGACCTTCCATCACTTTCACAATGGAGAAGGAAGCCCACAAAGAATTGCCATTCTTAGAAGTATTGGTGAAGAGGAGCGAAACTAAGTGGGAAACATCTGATGTGTATCGAAAACCCACTCACATGAGACAGTATCTGAACCACGAATCCAACCACCAACAATCGACTAAAAGAGGAATCATCAAGACTCTATTAGACCGTGCTTTAGGGCTCTGTAATACGAAGGAAGGTCTCGAGAAAGAATTAGACATCATCAAAAATGATCTTCAACGGAATGGCTACTCCAAAGCGATGGTAGAACAGACTTTGGTTAAAAGACAGCAGGAGCCTCGTAAGGAAGAGAAGCCGTCACAATCAGTGCGTGCACTTCCCTACATCAGATGATTATAGAAAAGGATAAAAAGAATTGGATCCAACTACTACATCAGAACCTGCTTCAGATCCGGAAACACTATCCGTAGCAGCCTCACGTAAACCAGGCCACAAAACGCGGACTGCGATTCCAAGAATTACATTTACCGGATACCCTGTGAGTGCGGAAAATCCTATATCGGTGAAACTAAGAGGCCATTGAATGTTCGTATTGCCGAGTACAAAAAACACACATAGCGAGGGGAAACCAGCAAATCAGGAATAGCAGAGCATGATTGGACCCATCAACATAACATCGAGTGGCCCCAAACTGAGATCATACACAGGGAGGACCATTGGTTTAGGAGGAAGCCGCATACATGTTGTCCAACAATGTATTCAGCCAAGCTACCGTAGAGATACGCAACATATGGAAACCCATAATCAAGTGAAAAATGATCAACTCCCGCCAAATAGTCATTTCCCACTAAACTGGTGAAGCGACAAAAAGAAAGCGGATATATGTGAAAGTACCCGAATGACCTATAAATAGTCATCTCTCGGAGGAATTAGTCTAGTCATCACCCGAAGACAATTGTGGATACTAACAATCGAAACGTCGTGAAGTAACTTGGCTTGGAATCTTGTAACTTTTTATTTTTATTATTTTTTGTTCAATTTTTATCCGAATGTTGGTTCATTCCCAATTCCCGGAATTTTCTGTAGAATTTGTTACAGCCGAGCGTGGATTTTAGTCGGATGCTGGAAACCTGAAAGTACACAAATCTTTTCAGACGCGAGCGGAAATTTCTACTCGTAATATTAATCTCGACTCGACAAACTGTCAGCTTGAAGTGAAAATTTCAATTCGACCGGTTGTTGTTATTTTATCAGTGCTCGAAAATTTTGTTTCAACAACGCTACGGTTGATGTTTGAAACAAAGGATTTTTGTATAATGACAGTAGCATGAAGTTTAACAAACACCGGAGCTGGGTAGTGTTGGGTTTGATTTTTTTCGAAGCAGGTAAATGATGTTAAAAATATTTTGTTGAAATTATGAAAAAAATCTTTGCACATAATTTTAATGGAAATAAATATCCGCTTTCATTGCTTTGAACATTGTATTATTATAGGAACTCTTTGTAAGATTTCTTTTCTAATTAGGGACATGCAGGACTGCATTTTCCTAATACCGGAAAAGCAACAAAATTCATTTTCAAAAAATACAGGCCGTTTTTTTATCATGTGGTAACATTGCTATATTCTAAACCGTAACAGATACGAAGACGATGGAATGGGAGCAATACAATGGTCGAAAAAAATTTATACGGGGAAAACAAAAATGTTGTTTTTCGTTTTTTTCGAATGGAATTGTTATTCCGGAGAATATAAAAAAATTGAAAGAGAAAATGTTATTATTCGAAGTGTACTATGACGATGTAATAACAAATAATGGATAAAACGGTTCGTGTCAACAGTGCCACCATAATTTTTTTTCAATACGGACCTATTTTTTTATTACAGATATTGATAAAGCGATGAATTCACAATCCAACCAGCATCAGTGACAACAATTTTAAATTACGGTCCTGTCGCCATTTCATTTGTAAATTGTTTCGATGTCTTCAAAATATAATTCAGACAATCCAAAAAATTCGACAGGTAGGTACCTACGCTAACACATTGAAAATTTGTACTTTTTCGTTTTGTATTGCTGTAATCCTTCTTTCAAGGCTTATTTCTCCCTAATCAATTATAATTCGTAATATTTTTATAATTCTCAAACCTGGAAGTAATGAAAATATCAGTTTTTGGTCAAAATTTGATTGTTGTATAATTTGGTATGATCAAATAGCATCTCAATTCATTTACCATCTTAAACGCGTAGGGTTTGCTTGGTTTCTATGGCAGGAATAATGAATGCGTTGATTATATCTGTTGAGAACTGTCAGACGTTTATGAACATATCAAAGATGTATTCAAATCATGAAAGGACTGATATGCTATTTGGTTATGCAAAATCAAATAGAAATCCTCCTTTGGCAAGGAATATGTATGTTGAGCTATACGGGAATCGTCGTATTCCGAACATCCAAATGTTTATACGATTAGAACGAAATTTGAGGAACTATGGTGCATTTAACAGAAAGAAAACAAGAAAGTGTGTTGTTACTGGAAGTATGAGGAATCAAATAAATGTTATGGGTAAGCAAATATTACCACTTATAAAATTACACAGTGAAAACATCTTTTTTTCAATTTAGGATTGGTCAGTTACAAAAATTATGCTAATCAAGATTGTTCTTTACGAGAAATTGCCCACGAAATGGGGATTTCTGTAAAATCCACCAGAACTATTTCGAAAAAGAACAATTATAAATGCTACAGGATACGCAAAGTTCGTCACCTCAATGAAAGGGATTTCGGAAGGTAATATTTGTAAAAAAATAATGTAGACGGACAAATCAAAATTCACCAACAATGGTTGGTTCAACAGAAATGTCTGGGAATGCAGAACTTGACACTTTCCTGAAGCACA